AAGGGGTCATTGTTATGGGAGGCAGAGCTGGAGGCAAGTCGTTCTCCCCCTACCTCATCCTCGAGGAGCAGCACCCCCAATTACACCAGCTGGCCTCCAAGTTCTGTGTGTGAGCCGATTAAAAAGCACCCTCTCTCCAGTGTCTGGAAACTCCTGCAAGGAAAGTTTGCTGCCCAAAGTTGGCTTTTGACTAGAGTCTTAATAAGAGGCCTCAGCAGGCTGTGGCGAGAGAGACAATGTCACTTAGAGGAGCAGCTTGAAGCGTCAGTTAGGAGAAGAATTATTTTAATGAATACATTTCCTTTCAATTGTATGGGAATATCAAGATCCCATTAGAATGGGGAAGCAATTAGAACTAATAAAGATGAATGCACAGTGTTCGGTGCGTGCGGAATAACAAGCAGCCAACAAAGAGACTCCAGAGAGCTTGCTCTAATCCAAGTGAACCGGCGGCCAGCAGAGGGGAAAGGCTCTGTTCAGCTGCTCAAAGCCTCTGTGTCCCGCACATTCTGATCACGGCCAGCAAATGGCGTGAGTTAGGCCTCATATGTGGGAGTTGCCCTCCTACCCGGGAGGCCTCTTGAGGGTTGAGATAGGCTGTTGGCAGCCCCTTGGCAACAGCCATTCAGAATAGGACCCTGGCTCTTGGCCAGCCCCTAGCCTGCCCCTTGCGCTGGGCCTCATTGTATCCAGGTGGCAAATGCCTCTCGCCAACTCCCCTTCAAGGTTTGGAGAGGGTGTGGGACAGCGAGGAGGGAGGAGTGAATGAGCAGGGGCCCTCTGTCCCCTACCTCATCTCTCCCCCACCCGCTGGCCAGGATCTGCTCCTTCTCTGAGTCTGGGGTTATGTTACAGACAGTGGTGAGTCACAGGCAGCCAAACACAGAAGTACTGTTGCTTACACAATTGCTCCTCAAACAGCAACAAACAATTTTCATTACCCAAGTCAGATCGAATCATCCGCCTGGCCATCCTGCCTCAATCCCTGCCACACAAACAGGACCCAAAGCCTCACACTTTGCCCATTCTGCTCTGACAACACTGGGTTTCATTCTGCCTCTGTCTGGGATCCTGGACAAAGCTTTGCCTCTGATCCCCTTAGAGCCGGATCTGCTGCACGGCTGTCAAGACTGTCAGAGAAACAGGGAAGACACAAGTATTGATGCAGTTTAGGGCTCACTCAGAAGTGGGGTGACTTGTTACTCAGTACCTGTGTGAAGAAAGCATTTAAAAGTTAGGAGGACTCCATGGACAAGCTTAGAGGGAATCCACAAGATAACCTGGCTCACCACCAAAGTATTCACTGGCCTCAGAAGGAGTGTCAGAACTTGACATTTCTTTATTTAATCTTTTTTGGCCAGACGATTTTTTCAACCAGGAATGTGGAAGCTCATTCTGAAATGTCTGTATTGAGAGGTCAGTCACACTCATTACTGAGATTTTTCTACCACCTCTCTTTAAAAAAAAAAAAAGAAAGAAAGAAAGAAAAAGTCTGTGACATTTTTATATTTGTTTCTTAATGATAGAGCACTTTATTTTCTTGTTTTTTTTAATGGTAGAGCACTTTAAAAGCATGTTTACATTTATAATCTTATTCAAATAACACAGTGGGATGGACAAAGTAAGGGTTGTCAAGCCTAAAGATGAGGAAACAGTGGCCTGTGCAAGGTCACAGGATAGGTGAGTAAGGACCTGGCTCAGTGCTGACACCTTTCCCACACCTCCACAGAGTGCTAGACATTCCAGAAGAGTTCATTCCACAATTCTTTTTCCCAGTGTAATCCCCTATTCCCTCTACATACTAAACTAAACACTGAAGGCTTTCAAAGACTAGCCACCAACAGTTCTCCTTCAAGAAGATTCCAATCTAACAGTGATCAAAGTGTTTGTTTTGCCATACCTACAATCAAAGAGATACACTGTAAGGATTATTTTTTTAAGTTGGCTTGTCCTGTACATGTAGGGCACAACCAAAACTGAAAAGATGATTGTTTATGTTCCTTCAGTATAACACTGTAGCATCTAAGGACTCCAAGTACAAGGCAAGGTCCATTCTCCTTTTATACTCCTCACCACCTCCCACATCTAAAGGCCTATTCATTTAATTTTTCAAAGTCTTTTATTTTTATAATTTTTGAGTATTATTTATATGCTGTGAAATGCATAGGTATTAAGTGTACAATTTGGTAAGTTTTGACAAGTATTTCTACACTTAAGATACAGAATATTTCCAGGACCAAAGAAGGTTCCTGGATACCACTTTCCAGTTAATACCATCCCGAATCTCCATTGTCCTCATTTCTATCACATAAATTAGTTTAACCTGCCTTTAATATCAGATAAATGTAATCATATTACACTATAATTTTTTTGTATGTTTCTTCTTTCATTCAGCCTAATAGTTGTCATACTCATTCATACGGTATCAGAAATTTGTTCCTTTTTAAAGATGTATTATGTTATTTTTTCAGGATTTTTTTGGTTTTGGTGGGAGTACTTGAACTCAGGGCCTCATGCTTGCTAGGCAAGCGTTCTACCACTTGAGTTACTCTGCCAGCCTTGCTTTTTGTTTGTTTGTTTGCTTTTAAATCCATCTATATTACTGCTAACTCATCCCTCAAAATTCTTCCCATTCAGCATATCTCTTGCATGCTTTTTCCATGCATATTTCTCTTGCATATCTCCTTGGCCAATTTTGCAGTGACAAAACAAGTAAATGGATTATTTTCTCTCTAGCATTGTCCTTTTAGGTAGGGGTGGCTAACCAGTTGGTTCAGCATGGTGATCATGTGCACAGTTTTCAGAGAAGACAGATTTGAGTTTGTATTTCCGGTCTATGAAACAACAGATGGGTGGTTTGAGGCAGGTGATTTAACCTCTCTGTGACTGTTTTCCCATTTGTAAAATGAGGATAATAATACCTTACTAATAGGAATTTGTGAGGACTAAATTATATTGTACATAGAATGTTTGGCACAATGCAAACTAATAATAGCCTCAAGCTAGACTATAATAAACATCCTCCTGCTTCATTCATCACACACTTTCAGTATTTGTAAGTCATTATAATAATGGCTATATATTTGGAAATTTGTTGGAGTTGTTTGTTTGTTTTGAGACAGAGTCTCAGGCTAGCCTCAAACTCTCAATTCTCTTGACTCAGTTTCCCAAGTGCTGGGATTACAGGTATGAACCACCACACCTGGCTCTTTTTGAAAAACGTAGTAAGAAAGATTTCATGTTTAAATCTAGATAATTCTATCTGATATTTACTTAAAATACACATTATTTCCTAAGGAAAAAGGTAAAACTTTACATTTTTTATTCATTGACAATTATATACTGAGTGCCAACTACAAGAGGCTCTTTAAAAATAATTAAAGATATAGCCCTGGCTTTGAGGATGTTTGGTTTGTTGAGGGTAAGAATATAAAAACAAAAAATAATTATGTTACAAAGCAAAGTGTGGTAAATACTAATAATAATTAATATCTATTAATGTAGTGATTAAGAACATGGTCTCTGGAGTCATACTATATGGTTTCAAATCCTAGCTGTGTGATGTTGGGCAAGTTACTTAACTTCTTTGTGAATTACCTCACTTATAAAATGGAGATATTAATACCATTTACCTTGCAAGACAATAGTATCAGTACATAAAAAATATTCAATAATTAATAGTCAAAATTTATTGAATACTCATTATGTGCCAAGCTCTGCATTAAATGTTTATGTACATTTTATAATCTCTTCAATGTGGTTACTACTATTATTCTATTACTGATAAGGCTACTGAAGAGCAGAGAGTTCAGGTAACTTGCCCAAGATTACATAGCTAGCAAATAGAAAATGCCACAGGAAAAGACACAATCATCTATAAAATGGGGATGATGATAACAGTGCTTACCTTAACGAGAATCAAATAAATATTATATATAATACATATTATATATCTTTACAGATATATACATATATAATATTATATACAATATTAGAAAATGCTTAGAACAGAGCCTGGAACATGATTAGGCTGATATATGTGAATGTTAAGTAAATACAAATTGCTATGGTGATTCAGAGATGATAGTAAATAAGTTCCATGCATGATGACTAAGGAAGACTTTGGAAAGGTGATGTTTAAGTTGAGCCCTGAACAGTGGGAAGATTTGAGATGGAGATGTTGGAGAGGGCATTTCAGACATAGACAGAGAGAGAAAATTAGGTGTAGTTAAATTTGACTAGAGCAAAAAAAAGTCTTCTTTTTCTTCCAACCAGACACCAAATGTACTTCCTCAATGTGTATCTTACATTCTTCTCTTATCCCCATAGAATATGATGTCCTTGTCCTCTCATCATAATTATCCATTGAAAAATATTTCTGAGTGCCTCCAAGTGCTAGGCCAGGTCCCAGTTCCTATTCTGCACTGTAATAATCAATCCTCCACATTGCCACCAGAGACTGTAATGACACAGGCCTGGCCCAGACATCACTTTGCAGTCTTTTTCCATTGTGTCCAGAATAAATTTCAATTTCCCTACCATTCTGTTTGAGGCCCCCCCACTAACTGACCCACGCAGCTTTATCTCCCAGCCTTGGCCTTCAAGGACTCTGCACTTGAGCTACACTAAAGCATTCAAAATCCAAGATGCATACGCCTATGAACACTAGCTGAAAGAATGTGACTGGAGCTCCATTCCTATCTCATTCCTTGTACATTGAAACATTCCCCACCCTCCATGCCTTGATGGGAAAGCCCTGGTTACATCTCCCTTGTCCCCAGCTTTCTGAGCCTAAGTTGCAAGCACAAGGTACACATTCCCACCTCACCTTGAACCTACATAATTATACCCGACCACGCCCCTAACCCAGACGGGACCGGAAGAGGAAGTGCTTCGCGCGCACGGGGGCCGCCATCTTGGCTCTGGTGGCCGGAAGTGGCGGGCGTGGACGGAGGCTGCGCGGCTTTTGCGCCGCAAGTCTTGGGCGCCCGGGCGTTGAGGCAACGACTTGGCCGCATGTGCGGTGACACCCAGCAGCCACCAAGTTCCCTCTGCTGTTGCACCTAGTCCTCCTCTCGCTGCCTCGGCCGCGCTCCAACCCCACCGCCGGGGCTCGCACGCCCCAAAACGTGTGCGAGCTGTGCACCTGCTTGTCCGAAAACATGTTGCAGAAATCCGAAGGCGGGGTCTCCCGGCCCCTCAGGCCGAGGGGGAGCAGGACGGCTGCCATGATGGTGAGACCCAGGCCCAACAGGAGGACTTTGGTGCGGCCAGGGAGGAGGGGGCCGCGGAGCCTGCCCTCGGCCGGAAAGGCGCGAAGGCTTTGGCCGCCAAAGCCCTGGCACCGCGCGGGGCTTACCGCCGTCTGAACCGGACGGCGGCCGAGCTGGTGCAGTTCCTGCTGGTGAAGGACAAGAGGAAGAGCCCATCACGCGCTCCGAGATGGTGAAATACGTAATCGGAGACTTGAAGGATCTGTTCCCGGAGATCACCGCAAGGGCCGCAGAGCATCTGCGGTATGTCTTCGGTTTCGAGCTGAAGCAGCTCGACCGCAAGCACCACACTTACATCCTCATCAATAAACTCAAACCTGTTGAGTTGGAGGAGGATCTGGGAGGAGATGGCCCCAGGTTGGGTCTCTTAATGATGATCTTGGGCCTTATCTACATGAAAGGTAATAGTGCCAGGGAGGCCCAGGTCTGGGAGATGCTGCGTCGGTTGGGGGTGCTTCCTTCAAAATATCACTTCCTCTTTGGGTACCCGAAGAGGTTTATTACGGGAGATTTTGTGCAGCAGCGGTATCTCAGTTACAGGCGGGTGCCGCACACCATTCCATCGGAATATGAATTCTCTTGGGGTCCCCGAAGCAACTTGGAAATCAGCAAAATGAAAGTCCTGGGGTTCGTGGCTAGGCTCCATAAGAAAGAACCCCAGCACTGGCCAGTGCAGTACTGTGAGGCTCTGGCGGACGTGGCCAACAGGGCCATAGCCGACCGAGGCCAGGGCTGAGGCCAGTATGAGGGCTAGAGCCAGGACCAATGCTAAGGCCGGCCTGCAGAGCTGGTGAGTGAGGGGCCCAGTGTGGATGGAAGCTACTTACTGTCTTGAGTCGTAAGTATAGCTAGGGGAGACTCGTTACTTCTGAAGAGATTGTGTAAGTTTAGTATTTAGGTCTTGTATCTTGTTAGGTTTTGTTACATTTAATATATTGTTAAATTGCTGTGAGATTGGTCTTTTTCCTGTAGGATACCTGTAGGATTTGCTAATTTTGTAAATGAATTTAAGAACTTTACATTTTATTCTGTGGTCATGAACAAATTTGCAGCATTGTAATGCTGGACTTGAATGGTCTGAAGGAATTCATCACTGTGATGATATGGTACCAGGGGAGAAAATAGCCTTCAACACTTTCTGTGTATTCTATTTTAAGAAAGACTGACATGTATCTATTTGTTTAGCTATTAGTATCTAGAAAAAAGTAAAATGCAATAAATTAGAAATATACCTGGTACACTGAATAAATTAAACATATGTTCATCATCTTGTGTTTTGTGATGCACTGTTTTGGGCATTTGGGGATAGAATGTGTCCTACTTTTTTGAATTAGTAAATAAACCAGAAGTTACAATACAGTGAGTTGAAAGCCATAAAGGGACACCTAATTCAGTAGAGGTGATTGGGTGAGGCTTGCTTGAGGTTACCTTTAGTTAAAAAAAAAAAGTCCCCTCAGACTCTGGGAAAAAAAGAGGTAGAAGGTGGGGGTGAGAGTTGAAGATGGTGCTTTTAAATGACTTACTATTGGCAAATTGGGAAAGTACCCTACATTTGCCAGTGCCTTCATTCCAGGGCAAGTTGTTGCAGTGCACAGTGATGGTGACCATGACCATTTTGGCCCTCTTCATCTCCCTTCTCTCAACCTCCACAAGTTTCCCTCTTGTACCAAAGCCCTTAGAGACCAGTAGGGTAACAATACTGAAAGATTATATAGTATGGATGGAGGGTACATACGATGTAGCCTGTTACCAAGAAGTTTCACTTCAAGATCTTTCCTTGGGAAGAATCAGCAAGAGGGGGAACGGAGATAGGAAAGGATGATGGGGATAAGCATGATAGAAGTACATTATGTATGCATGAAAATAGCTTAGTGAAACCCATTAAATGTTAAAAAAAAAAAAGTGGGAGGGTTAAGAAAGTAATATAGATGAGATGAATTTGATCAATATATATTGTATGTATGTAAATGTGACAATAAAATGCCTTTGTTAGATTAATTTATGCTAATAATCTTTTTAAAACTGGAGAAAATTAAAAAAAAAAAAAAGCAAAAAGAAGATATCTCCCCAGGCACCAGGAAGCCCAGTGCTCTCTTCCATGTTTCTATCTGCTGCTTTCCACTTGCCACTTCCCGTTTAGTGGAGACCTGTAAGACATCCCTCTCATTCTTAACACCCATGAGGAGTCATCCACAAGCAGCTTTAGCGCCTGCCGTGCCTACCACCTTCACTCGGCTAGACCCTGTAGAAAGAGTACATACAATAACAGAGAACTTAAAGAAGTAGAACCCACACACTAGAGGTGGAGCGTTGTACCTGTCTCCCTACAGCTGCCATAACAGAGCTGCTTTTTTTTTTTCTCAAGAGTTTTCTGCTTCCACTTGTGTCCAAATAACATGTTTTAGTATGTTATGGTTGGCCTGGAACACAAATTACTTTGGGATATAAACCCTCTACTTATATGCAAAAGAATTGAAAATTCAATATTTCAACAAAAATACTGAATGCCCACTGTGTGCCATTGACCTTGCTGGGTACCAAAGTTATTGAAGTGATGCAGTACTGATGATTTCATTTGTATTTTCTCACAGTGTCTGAGAAGTCAGCAGTGTGTGCACCTTAGGGTCAGATTATTTTGATTTGTCTAAGGTCATTTATTGGTAAAAGACTAAAGCCCAAGACTTTCCTGCAACCCAGTGTTTCATTCTAGCACACTGTTCTCTATTCCTGGCCTTCAGTATGTTGTGTGTGGTTTTAGTTACCACAACTGCTAGCAATAAGTGGGTCACATTTAACTATCTCCAGTTGCCACTGCAGTCTTGAAGGGAATGAGGTAGAATGGAATTACTCCCTATTTTAATCCAAAGGAATGTAAGTCAGCATACAATAGAGATACCTGTACACCCATGTTTATAGCAGCACTATTCACAATAGCCAAATTTTGCAATCAGCCTAGGTGCCCATCAGCAATGAATGGATAAAGAAAAAAAAAAAAATATATATATATATATACACAATAGAGTATTATTCAGCCATAAAGAAGAATGGAATTATGTGTTTGCAGGAAAATACCTGCAACTGGAGATCATCATGTAAAGTGAAATAACCAGACTCAAAAAGCCAAATACCATGTTCTCTCTCATAGGCAAATCCAGACCTTGAAAAAAATGACATGAATTTGAATTTGTGGGAGGCTGTGGGAGTGGGGAGGGTAAAGGAGAGAGTGATGGGGTGAATATGGTCAAAGTACTTTATATGCATGTATGAATATAGAATAATGAAACCTATTAAGAATTATGAAGAAGGGGATAAGAAAGGGTAATAGAGGGGTTAATTTGACCTAAGCACACCGTATGCATGTACGTATGAATCATAATAGAATCTTTTTGTGCAAGTAATACACAAAAGATACGGTTTAAAAAAATAAGCTCAAGGTCCTGAGTTCAAACTCCAGTACCACAAAAAGGGTGGGGAGGGGCTGGGCTTGATGACACATCTGTAATCCCAGCTACTCAGGAGTCAGAGGTAGGGTGATACTCTGAAGTCAATGCTGGCATAAGCATGATACTATCTGAAAAATAAGCTAAAAACAAAATGACGGGGGGAGAGGTTCTGAGCTCAATCCCAAGTACCAACAAAATAATAATAACAATAATAATACTCAGTACCCATTTTCCTGATGGCTTTGTTTAAGGTCAAATATGCAAAGACAAGGCAAAGCCTGGACTAACAGTACCATTTACTAAACATCTACTAGAGGCAATAGGCACTTTTTTCACTATTTTGCACAAGTGTATTGTGAAGTAGGTATTTTTAAATACCTCTATTTTACAGATACTAGGGATAGTAATACTTGCCATTTATTTAATTCCCAAGGTGAGTCAGCTTTTTTATGTTTAACATATTTACAACAGTCAGGATAGAGAGTATCTTCCATTTTGCACTTAACAGACAGAGAGGCTGTAATAGTCTCACAGGTAGTCTGTGGCAGAATAAGGATTGGAGTTGAAGTGTGATGGAATATTTTAGATTTCCTTCTTGGGACTCTTTCCAGACTTGTCATCTGTCTCTGGACTCACCTTCTTGGAGATACAAACAAGGGCTGTATAGCCAAGGTAATTACATAAGACACTGGCCTGCAGGAGGGTAAAAAAAGAAGCTAAAACAAAGTTGGAAGATAATCTGTGAACATTGACTCCAGCTCCCTACTCTCTTCTGTATTCTCAGAGTGCTAGCTACATGTAGAAAGTGTATTTTTGCTCACACTCAGCATATTTCACCCTTGTAGGCTGTGTTTCCGCAGTCTTTAGTCTGCTCTCTCCAGTTAAGCCTCAAATTAGTCTTTCATGCCATGGAACAATCCCATAACATTTGTGGACCTGCAAATGTGATTGCCAACGTTTCCAGATGGTGCAAAGGCTGGCAGAACTCGTACCCTTGCCTCGGGATGAAAGACCTCCCATGTCACAGATGCCATCATCAACTTCTCAGAAGTACTGAGAGTGTGGCCTCTGGGCCCATATGTGTGGCAGACACTGGCCATGGTAAGGGCAAGAGATGAATTCCCCTCTTGCTCCTGGTCATTCACATGAGGGAGAAGGAAGCACTGGATCCCCTGACTTCTCCTTCAGACACACATAGAACTAGATCTTTCTGTGTTTGGGGTGGGAAGGATTTTGCTGAGAGAGTGATGGCAGATGGATTACTCCAGATCATACTATTATAGTACAACTAGGAATCAAAGCTAGTGAAGGAAGTGCCCTTGACATCTATCTATAAATCATGTCTTCGACAATGGGAAAGTCTCAGCTCAGCTACAGACTCTGTAGGGATCTCCTCCCCTACCCACTTTTTTGTGGTGCTGGAGATTGAACCTAGGGCCTTGTACATTCTAGGCAAGCACTCTACCGCTGAGCTACATCCCCAGCCCTTGATTTTTTTGGAGAAAAGGACTCACCATGCAGCCAAGGCTGATCTCAAACTCGAGATCCTCTTGCCTCCACATAATTCCGTGCCTGGGATTACAGACATGCATCACCACACCTAGCTCTCTGGGGATCTTGACCCTCACCAGAGTTACAATTCTGATTCCTTGGAACTTGGAGAGCAGGTGTTTAGAAATAGGCTAAGGTTGATTATAATCCCAACATCAAACAGGCACTTGGTGCTCCAGAGGTGGCAGCTCATTTTTAGTCCCTGCAACCCAGGCCTCAAGTCACAGGTCCAATCCCAGTTTCCACTTGAGGTCATTATTTTTCCTGCCTTGGTCCCTGTGGCAATTGGTATTTGTGCAAATTATTCCTCAAATTGTGCAACCCAGTAAAGATGGCAACAATTACCTCCCAGCAGAAACATAGTATACTGACTGAGGAAGTTAGGTATTCTGAAAAGTATCCTGATCAAGGCCTTTTGGAAGTTATGACTATGTGATCTTGAACAAGGCATTTCAGTCTGAAGAATGTAGATGAGGAAACCATTGAATGGATGATTGGCGGAGGGGTCAGGTACAATCCAAACCCCACACCCCAGCATACCAGTTGATGTCAGACTGCCCAACTCCCTAGCTCATCATGGCCAATAACAGTGGCAGCCAGCATTTATTAAGACTTTGTGCCAAGCATGGTGCTAAATATGATAGCCACATCATGTCACACATCTGTACAACAGTCCTATGAGACTGTTGGAGATAGATCCAACAGTAAGATCCCACAAGGAAAGCACAAGAAAGAATAATTCCTCTCATTTTCTCAATGCACAAGTTGAATGACTTGACCAAGTTTGTGACATAACTAGTGAGGGGCAGATCCAGTACTTGAACCTAAATCTTCTGAGTTCTTGCTGGTATTCTACCCTGCTGGCCCTCCAAGGGCTCTTAGGAAGCAATGAATCTCTCACTAGAAAAATGGGGATGACAAGCCAAGTGTGGTGGCCACACCTGTAATCCTAGCCCTGGG